TCACACAATATGTGACCTTTTGTGTGTGACTTCTTTCATTTAGCATATGTTTAAAATATATTTATTTGCAGTGCTACTTGTAATTATGAAAAACTAGAAGCAATCAGAATATCTATGTGAGGGCTGGTTAAATAAATTATAGTATTTCCAGAAAGTGGAATACTATGCAATTATTAAGAAAGGAGTTTATGAAAAATATTCAACAATGTAATACAATGATCAGTGAAAACCTATAAGCAACTGTTTTAAACTATCAATGTATTTGGAAATATCCTAAAATCTAGGAATATACCAAAAATATTTACAATAGTTTTCTTTGGGTTTTGAGATTATGGATGATCTCCATATATTTTCCTAGTTTTCTTCAATGATAATGTATTGTTTCTATAGTTGGAAAAATAAACACATTTAAAAGCCACACCACTGCCTCTGCTCTACACACACTTCCCTCCATCCTTGTCCCTTCTGAGCAGAGTCTGTCCCTCTCCTCTCCCTCAGACCAGGTCCGGAACAGCTACTACATTGGGGCGGATGGCTCCCTGCGGCTGCTACTGGCTAATGGCATGGAGGTGGCACTGCAGACGGAGCCCCACCTGCTGGCCAGCACCGTCAACCCCACTGTGGGCAAGAGGAACGTCACACTGCCCATCGACAATGGCCTCAACCTGGTTGAGTGGCGGCAGCGCAAGGAGCAGGCTCGGGGCCAGGTCACCGTCTTTGGGCGCCGGCTGCGGGTGAGCAAGGCCTCCAAGCAGGTCTCAGCCCCTGGAGGCAGCTGGGTCCTGGGGGAGAGAGTGAGGAGGAGTCTGGAGAACGGGGTTCTGTTCTTGAAGCTGTCCCTGGGGGAGAAAGTGTTCCTGGGCCTTCAGTTTCCTCATGTGCAAACGAGGGAAAGTAAAGTAGGAACCACATGTAATAAGTGTCTCATGCGTCTTTCCAGTGCTTACTTTTCACTTGTTACTGGTGGAAACATCGCTAGCTTTGGTGTTACTCAGGTCTAAATTGGATTTTCAGCGTATATTCCTTCCCTGAGTGAATTTGGGCAAATCTGTCATCTCTTAAAACCTCGATGTCATTATCCATAAACTGGGGAAGATAAAACCAATTTTACAACTTGCTACAAAGATTAGAAAAACTATATAAAGTGCCTCCTATAGAGCCTATAAAGAGACTCCTACAGATCTGGCACATAGTAAGTGGTCAATAATATCCACTCTTGTTGTTACTGCTAGTCTTCTTACTATTATTGTTACTACAATTCCTAATACGGCTGAAAATTCAGTTTAGCTGTTTGGAACCTAAGCCACTTCTCCACTTTTTCCAGGCAATCATCCTTCCTAAATGAGTGAAACAACTCCCACCATAACTGTCACTGCCAGTGGGTTGGCCTCTGTGATCTGGCATTTCAGAGTGCTTTTCAGTACGTGGGTGCCCTGAACCAGCCTTTTCTCTGCCTCACTCCGGTGTTTCTGTAGAGTGTGGCCTCTGACCCTGGGCCCCATTGCCCGGATTCTCTTCCCTCCAGGTTCAGAAAGGAAGGCGGTGGGAAGAGTAAAAGGGAAGGAACCATCCCTGGCTTTCAGCCCAGCGCCCTGCAGACCACAGGTGCTCTCTGTAGAGACTTACTGAGCTGAAGGGAGCCACAGAACTGAGCCAGGTGTTCCTGACTCCTAAAACCACAGCATGCTCATGCAACATGGCTGGGGTTGTCTTGAGCCCCCGGCCCTTCGGCAAGAAAGTTCCTTTCAGCCCCTTTTTGATACCTGGGACAACCAAAGTCCAAAGAGAAAAAGGGGTTTTTCCAGACTCACATAGGTAGAGGCGGTAAAGACTAGGCAATAGGCACCCTGTCTCTTAGTTTAATTCCCACAACAGATAGAGAAACAGTAAGTGACTTACCCAATATCACACAAATAGAGCCAGAAAACCAGGCTTCCTGTGTTCCCTCAACAGCCAAGAACTCTAGCAATAATCTAACGTGGGAAACAGCCTTCCTCCAGCTCCCCAGCTGTGTTTGGTCGCTATGGCCTGCCCCCATCTGTGGCCTCACTGAGCCCCTGTCTGAATTCTCCAGGAGCCCCTCACGCACATCTGAGGCAATGTGCTAAATGGGAAGTTTGACCTGAGTTTGATTGCTGCCTGGGCTGTGTGTGTAGCCTTGAGCAACTCCTCTGAGCCTCAGGTTCCTCTGCAGAAACAAGATAATATATGCAAAGTACCTAGCCCAGTGCTGGTAGACTCCAGGTGCTCAATAAACGGCAGCGATTAGTGCTATTAGGACTTCCTCTCTGCCGTGTGAACTGGACCAAAAGTTTCCTAAGCTTTAATTGGCCCCTCTCCCCGCCTGAGATTAATGGCGCTCCAGTCGGGTGGCTGCATCTCCATGTCCTCCCAATATAAATGGCCACCCACAGTGGCGGCATGTGGAATTAGAATGTTAGCTGGGTGCGCCTCCCCATAATGGAGCTCATTTTTTATACAACTGGGAACTTTTTTAATAAAGAAAGATGTAAAATAATCTTATTGCCGCCACTGTCGAACACAGGAAGCATTAGGCGGTTCCCCAGTGAGCTGCTTAATTCAATTTTATTAATTTTGCCACAGAGGTATAGCTCCCCTTCACAAGGGGTCCTCTAGGGGATGAGGGGGCAGCTGGCTAGGTGGCACTACCTTGGGGGAAGTCACAGGCGAATTGCCAAAAGATGCTTTAAAAAGGCCCCGGTCATTGTTGGTGGTACAACCCTGTGCCTTCCTTTGTCCTCTCGGCAAACAACACAGCTTCAGCTTCCAACACCTCTGATTTTTCACGGGAATTGTCTGCCACACTGTTTTTGCTTCTGCAATTGTGTTTGATTACCCCTGGGAAGGCAACCTTATTATAACCAGGCCGTTCACAGCTAAAGTCATCTCAGCATCGTCATTATAAATCCTTATTTTCAAGGCTTTAGAATTTGTTTGGGGAGAAGGAGGAGACACACGTCTCTACTTCTTCTGAGAATGACTGTGATCATTTGCTGTCATTTAATGGAAATAATTGCAATCATTAATTCAGCACCTTCTATGGGCCCAGCACTCCACTAGGCAATTTACTCAGGTTTCTTCAATCCTCACGACAAGCCCTGTTTTGCAGAGGAGGAAATTGAGACTCAGAGAGGGAAAGGCACTTCCCCAAGTTCACAGAGAAAACTTGTCACAGAGTTGAGGCTGGAATCCTGGCCTTAATTCGAAACTCTTTCTTACCACACAGAGCCCCAGGGGGCCTTTCATTACCTCCGTCTACGTGTACAGTTTTGCACCATGTGACCTACGTTGTCTGCTTTCCTCTTGGGTCTTCCTTACTACTTGTCACACTTAACCAGTGACTAATGGAAGAGTCAGAAAATGTGCCCAAATGCCCCAGGAGGCCAGGCACCAATTAGAGGGAACTAGCATTTTGGCTTCAGAGTACCTGGCAGCGTTTCAGGGGCAACCAGTGCCTAAGGGGTGGATCCAATATAGAAACAGGCCTCAGAAGTATATTTCTTTATTAAAATACCAAAAACCCTGACTTATTGCTGCCCCTGTGGCAGCCCTGTATTTCTCACTCTGAAAGGAAATTGAATTAGATGCTGACCTAGCAGCCCAGGTGGACAGCATACAAGGGGCTCCTGATCTTGGAGGCAGGAGAAAAATGTTCCAGAGCTAAGACTGTGTCCCCAGGCAGCCCATAGCCAGAGAAGTCATCCAAGATCAAACACACACTGTCTCCCAGGGCCTCAGGAAAAAGAAAAAGAAGATGCTTTGGGAGCTGACCAAGGTGACTGGGAAGCCCTTATTGTCGGGGCAGAGGGCAGGAGAGACCCCAGAGGGGATAGGAAATCCGAACCCCAAGAAGGGTTGGACTCTCTCGGAGGGCCAGTGAGCATTTGTTGGCACATTGCAGTGGTGAGAGTCAAATCCAGACTCAGTCACTCACCAGCTGCGAGATCTGGAGCACATCCCTGCACGTCCCCGAGCTTTGGTCTCCTCAGTGTCAAACGGCACAGTGTCTGGCACATGAGAAATGAGGTCAGGCATTGATTTGTTGGGCCCACTTGGCCTCTCCCTTTTTAGGAGGGAGTTAAGAAGGACCTGCCTTTTTGTCTTCATTTAGAAGAGTCACATTAGGAAATGATATGGATCATCTTTAGTAACAGTTACTATTTGCGGAGTATCTACATTGTCTTTATTCTTACAACAGCCCTATGTAATTGGCATCATTATTCCCATTTTACAGATAAGGAAACTTCACAGAGCTGACAAGTGACAGAGCCAGGACCCAAACCCTTGACTGTTGACATCTATGACCTAGCTGCCTCCTCTACTCAGGAGCTTCTCAGACCAAAGTTCTCAATGTCCAGATTAACTTTGTCTTTCCTCCTCCCCCTTCTCCAGGTTCACAACCGGAACCTCTTGTCTCTGGACTTTGACCGTGTGACACGCACAGAGAAGATCTATGATGACCACCGCAAGTTCACCCTCCGGATCCTGTATGACCACGCAGGGCGGCCCAGCCTCTGGTCACCTAGCAGCAGATTGAATGGCGTCAACGTGACATACTCCCCAGGGGGCCACATTGCTGGCATCCAGAGGGGCATCATGTCTGAGAGAATGGAATATGACCAGGCGGGTCGCATCACATCCAGGATCTTCGCTGATGGGAAGACATGGAGCTACACGTACTTAGAGAAGGCAGGTGTCTGTCTCCCTCCATCAATGGCCTTGCCATATAGAGGCCAAACATTGTGGCTCAGACCATAGCCAAGCCCAGCCTACTGACCTCAGTGGGATAGATCTGACCTATGTGGTCTCCAAAAGGAAAAGTTCAGAAAAATCTCCAAAAGAGGGCCTGAGGGTCCTGAGAGGCATCTGGATGGATCATGGTGGTGGCATGGCAGGTGGGGGTCCTGGAGCAGGAGAATGTGAAAGTCCCATCTGATCAACTGGAGCTAGGAATAGACTCAAATACTAACGGGACTTACCAGGCAGTATGGGAGTCCGGAGCCAGGCAGAGGTCTGCTCTCAGGTCTAGGGCACAGGGTGTGATCTGGTCACAGAGGACAAGGCAGAGGCACAGGGATCAGTAGTTAGGCAGGAGGTGCTTAATCCTGAGCTTTGAGGGCTGGGCGTGGCCTTAGCAAATCCCTTCTGCTTCAGGTCAGGATTCATTTCATCCCAGGGGCTAGGAATCAGGAAGGGCTTGAAATCAAAAGTTGGTCCCAAATAGGAGAAAATGGTAGCTTTGATGCCTAGATATCTCTAGGCCTGTTCTCTGCTGACTCCTTCCTGAAACAGTCTACTTCATGCCCCAGTTTTAGGACCCAGATCCTTGCTTTGTTTCCTCCTCCTAGTTACCTATCCAAGGCCTGGGCTCTGCTTGCTTTGTGGTCAGTCTCCCCTACTCTGTGCTGGGTGAGCATCTCTGAGAGCAATGCTCAGTAGTGGTGCTCAGGGAGAGCTTGGAGATCATCCAGCCTACTGAAAACCAAACCCAGAGCAGGAAAGAACTTTCCCAAGACCACCAGTGGTCCCTTGTGAGAAACCAGGTCTCCCCATTCCCATCACAGCCCACCCCACGGTGAGCTTATGACCTCTCACTATGTAAACAATGTGAAGAGCCTTAAATGCCCTTCTCAGACATGGTCTTTATCCTGTAGGCCAAAGGGAGTCCACAGAAGTTGTTCAGTAGGCAATAGACATCATCAGACTGTGTTTTAGGAAAGTCATTCTTGCTTGAGTAGGAAGATTCATTTGAGAAGGCATCTGGAGGAGGGAAGCCAGGAAAGAGGCTGCTGCAAATACTTTAGGCCAGTGCTCCCAACCTTTCTCACACCCCATCACGCACTAAAATCATCATTTTTGTACCACACAAAGGGGCAATCAGACAAGGCTGCTCACCCTAAGAAAGCAAATGGCCTGAGTGCTCTGGGGCCCCAGGCCCTGCCAGGGCCAAGGACTGAGAGAAATCCTTATCTTAGCACATCTGTTCCCCAGTGCAGTATCCTATGGCACATTGGTTGGAAAGCTCTGGTTTGGGAGAACCACCGGTTTCCTTGGCCTTTCATTCCTTTCCTGTAAGTCTTGGACACACAAACCTACCCTTCCTCCCACACCCTCCTCTCACTCTTGGTTTTCCTTTCCCTCCAGTCCATGGTGCTGCTCCTCCACAGCCAGAGGCAGTACATCTTTGAGTTCGACAAGAATGACCGCCTCTCCTCCGTGACAATGCCCAACGTGGCCCGGCAGACACTGGAGACCATTCGCTCAGTGGGCTACTACAGGAACATCTACCAGCCCCCTGAGGGCAATGCCTCAGTCATCCAGGACTTCACTGAGGATGGGCACCTCCTCCACACCTTCCACCTGGGCACTGGCCGCAGGGTGATATACAAGTACGGCAAGCTGTCAAAGCTAGCCGAGATGCTGTATGACACCACCAAGGTGAGCTTCACCTATGATGAGACAGCAGGCATGCTCAAGACCATCAACCTACAGAACGAGGGCTTCACCTGCACCATCCGCTACCGTCAAATTGGGCCCCTGATCGACCGCCAGATCTTCCGCTTCACCGAGGAAGGCATGGTCAATGCTCGCTTTGACTACAACTACGACAACAGTTTCCGGGTGACCAGCATGCAGGCTGTGATCAACGAGACCCCGCTGCCCATCGACCTCTATCGCTATGACGATGTCTCAGGCAAAACAGAGCAGTTCGGGAAGTTTGGTGTCATCTACTATGACATTAACCAGATCATCACCACAGCGGTCATGACCCACACCAAGCACTTTGACGCATATGGCCGGATGAAGGAAGTGCAATATGAGATTTTCCGCTCTCTCATGTACTGGATGACCGTCCAGTATGATAACATGGGGCGAGTAGTGAAGAAGGAACTAAAAGTGGGACCCTATGCCAACACCACCCGCTACTCCTATGAGTACGACGCTGACGGCCAGCTGCAGACAGTCTCCATCAACGACAAGCCGCTCTGGCGATATAGCTATGACCTCAATGGGAACTTGCACTTACTAAGCCCTGGGAACAGTGCACGGCTCACCCCACTAAGGTATGACCTCCGTGACCGCATCACTAGGCTGGGTGACGTGCAATACAAGATGGATGAGGATGGCTTCCTGAGGCAGCGGGGTGGTGATGTCTTTGAATACAACTCAGCTGGCCTGCTCATCAAGGCCTACAACCGGGCTGGTGGCTGGAGCGTCAGGTACCGCTACGATGGCCTGGGGCGGCGGGTGTCCAGCAAGAGCAGCCACAGCCACCACCTGCAGTTCTTCTATGCAGACCTGACCAACCCCACCAAGGTCACCCACCTCTACAACCACTCCAGCTCTGAGATCACATCCCTCTACTACGACCTGCAAGGACACCTCTTTGCCATGGAGCTGAGCAGCGGTGATGAGTTTTACATAGCTTGTGACAACATTGGGACCCCTCTTGCTGTCTTCAGTGGAACAGGCTTGATGATCAAGCAGATCCTGTACACAGCCTATGGGGAGATCTACATGGACACCAACCCCAACTTCCAGATCATCATCGGCTACCACGGCGGCCTTTATGATCCGCTCACCAAGCTTGTCCACATGGGCCGACGGGATTATGATGTGCTGGCTGGTCGCTGGACTAGCCCAGACCATGAGTTGTGGAAGCATCTTAGTAGCAGCAACATCATGCCTTTTAACCTCTATATGTTTAAAAACAACAATCCCATCAGCAACTCTCAGGACATCAAGTGTTTCATGACAGGTGAGGATCGGGGCTCCTTCAAAGGGCAGGACTACTACTGCTCTGGTCATCTGACAAGACAGCCTTCCTTGAGAAAGCTGATATGGGGGAACAGGAAACGTTAACTTTCTCTTAGAGCCGCGTCTTTCAAAGTACAGATGAGGAAGCACTAGTTCAGAGAAGTGCTCTGGAAAACCACTTCTGGCATCAAATCAACCTGACAGGGCAACCACCATTCTTAAATTTTCATAACAGTTTTCACCTTATGAAAGGCTCTGAGAAGTCCTGTAGTAAAGAGAAATCTTTAATATATTTACCCACTGTTTCTCAAACTTACTTGACCATGAAACTAATATCTCACTGGGTGTATCCCTTAGAGTATACTTTGGGAGTTTCTGACCCAGGGATAAGGCTGCTATGAGTCCCTGATAAGTTGGGTGAAGGTATGGCTAAAAATAATAATAATAATAATTCAGTTATCTTATTTGGGATGATGTAATAGAAAATTCAGACTTTGGAGACAGACAGAAGTAGGTGAAGCATCCACCATTTCTAAGCTATGACGGTCACAAAAATTACTTAACTCCCCTGAATTCCAGTTTCCTGATCTGTAAATTGAAGTCGGAATACCTACCCTGTCTCTGGCACATTAATATTCATACTGTAAATCATAGAGCAACCACTGAAAAATAAAATAAAGGCATAGCTAATTAGTCAATAGTGGAGATAAAATGAAGACTGAAAGATATTCAGTCCAAAGAGGGTGAGAAAAAAAGAGCAAAGAACAGTTGGACAAATAGAAAAAAAAAATACTTACCTGGTAGCATGGTTGCAGGGGGAAATGAGAGACATTTTATAACCTGCGTAGCACGTGGTGGCTCACGTTGGTTGCCTTTCCTCTACCCTTTGATTTAAAAGGTGGGCTCTGCTTTCTACTATTCTAAAACCAACTTGAGCATAAAGTCTCCTATAGGTCACACATGCCAGAAATGTCTCCAGCAGCCACAGTCCTCCCAGCAAGCAGCCACTCCCAAGCTAGCCACAGAAGACCTCAAGAGTTGGAGCAGCTGTGGGGATTCAGGTCTGGATAAAGCCAGCGCTTTTTACAGAACAGAGTTTGTGGTGGGCAAAAACTGGACATATCCCACCCTCGCACACCTGGTGGTCTCCTCATCTTTTGTCCTGTGACACAATCCTCCTGCCGCCTATTTTAAGGCAGTTTCATTCATTCAACAAGGGCCTCTCCTGTGCAGCCATGGTTTTAGGACTGAGGATAAAAAGATGGTCCCCGCCCTCCAGGAATTCACACTGCAAGAGGGGAGACAGACAACTGTTATCCAGTGTGAGGGCCCATGATGGAGATTTGTACTGATGGCCATTGAAATACAGGAGGCATGACTGGCTCTGCCCAGGGAGCAGCTGATATTTGAGGCCTGCTTATGAGTGGACATTCATCAGGTGATGGAGAGAAAGGCAGTCCAGGGAGAGGGGACTGCACATGTAAAAGGAGAGACAGCAACATGTGCAGCTCACTCGAGTGCCCCTTAGGGACGTGGCTTCCTGGCCCCTAAACTTGGTAGTCCAGTCTGGACCTTGTTTCTGTAGACAGCAGTTGGAGGATTCCTCTTTCGGGGAACAATTCCAGGTGGTCGTGTTGAGAGCAGGAGACCCAAGAGTGGGGAAGAAGGGAGAACACAGTGATGGGCAGGTGTGACGCAAACACACCTGGGGCCTGTGGATGCATAGGAATATTCCAGCTAGGTTTCACAGCATTCACCATGCTCAACTTGCTGCCAGCCCCAGATAAGCTTAACAGATTGAGAGGACATTTCCATTACATCTGCCTGCATTAAGCATGCCACCTGCCTCCCCTCCAGTGAGTTTCCTGTGAGATGCGTTGGCAGGTTACTGTAGCTGAAAAAAAAAAATGGTGCAAAAAAAAATTTTACTGCTAAAAACCAAGATGCTACTCACTTCTCACTAAACCTTACCTTTTAGCTTCCACTGGGCTACATGCAACCTCATTCACATCCAGCAACAACAATAAAAAGAGTATCTTTTTTCCAGAAATTTCAGGACTCTTGAGATATACTCTAATTAGATAGGCTTAGGTCTCATGACAGCCCCTGAACCAATCACTGGGGCTGGGGAGATAGAATGCACTGATTGGCTTAGCCTAGGTCACATGGTCCATTGCTGAACCCTTAGGTGGAGTCAGCTTCTAAAATGGATACCCCAAAAAGGAAGAGTGAGAAGGCAGAATGGATGCTAGGAAGGCAACCAAAAAATGTCCACCACAGATAGGTCAGATACACTCTTGCATTTAAACCTCACTGGGAGGCTGTGAGATGGGGACCACTGACCCATTTCCAGAGGAGGAAACTGAGGATTAGAGAGAACTAGGAAGTGGCAAGGCTGAGTTAGAATTCTGTTTTGACTCCAAAATCCTCATTCTTGGATTCAAAATTCACTTTGTAAAGTGCAAAGCTGTGTGCACGTGAAAGGGGTTATTATGCTGCATCACCATCCCAGACGGCCCCACTGAAGTCTGAGACACACAGGTAAAGGGGAGCTTTGAACCTGAGGGAAATGTCTACCTCTGATGTCATAAGAAGGAAGAATAAAATTCCCAACCCTTCAGAAAAGCACTATAGAGAAACCAACGAATAAATCAATTTTCAGCATTTTTCCTAAAGGCATAATGAAAGTTTCCCACCTTCCATCACTTATAATTAAGTCCCAGCCCTCTTAGCAGCCTTCTAGTTTCCTGGGAATTTGCAGTATTCCTGATAGAAGCTTTCCTTTGCAACTGCAGATTCAGATGCAAGTTCTCAGCTTCAGGCAAAATGGCTTTGTAGGCTATGTTCCCCCCTGTTCTGTTTGTTTTAATTTCCCAAAGAACCATCTGCCTAGATTCATAGAATCGGAGATTCTTAGAAACTCAGTGAGGAAAGGGACTTTAGAGAAAAGCTGGTCCAAGTGCCTCATTTTACAAAAGAGGAAACGGAGGTCCAGGGACGTGGAGGCATGGGTTTGAGGAAACACAGAAAACCTTCTATGAGCCAGGAACCCAGCTCAATGCTTTAAAATACATTAAATCCAATCATTTATGTAAACAACTGGGAACAGATCCTGCTACATGATGGCTGCCCCCAAATGGTAACACCTTTAGTATTCTCCATGACTGGGTGAAAACCATTTCTACCATGAGTTTGCAAGTTGGGGAGGCAGAGTCAGGACCTGGGTTTTTCCTGCCTCACCGTGCCCCTTCCCTTATATAATCTTTCTAGAAGTAGAACCTGGACTTCCTGGCTTCCCTTTCTACCGCCCCTCCATCTCAGCACCTGCAGCTTTCACATCCAAGAGAGGGGCTCTGGGACATCCAAAAAATGAAGAAACAAAGACAAATATGGGGTTCTTGAATGGGAAGGCAACATGGGATGTGGTGGTGACAGAGACATAGTTCTTGAGCCCCAAAGGACACTCCCATCACTGGGATGAACTCAATGGGTGGGAGGGGAAGGCAGTTCTGCCACTGCTTGGACCCTAAACAAGACCTCCCTGACCAGGTATCTGTCACCTTTGGAAGAAGCCAAAAGCAGGCCCATAGCCCCGAGTTGCTGGCTCTGAGGCTCAACTCCAAATCCTGCCTTCCCCAAACTTTGGATCCTGAGTCTCTGGTCAACAACTGCTTTGGCATCCACAGCTGCCTCCTCCCAAGGAGGGCTGAGCCACGCCTGGACACAGGCTGTCTGTCTCTCTCTTGTAGGCCCCACATCACCTCCTACCTATCCCAGGCTCTTCCTGCTCCAGCCACAGTTTTCCTTTCTGGTTCTCTCTCCGCCTTGCTGAACTGCTGTCTGGTTATGTGAACACTCCCTGCACTCACTTCTCCTCTCCAGGCTTTGCCCTTGTACAGTGGTCTTTGCCTGAAGTGCCCCCTTCATCTCTACCGAAGCCTGGCAAAATTTACACAGCTTTCAGTGTCTGGCTTAAATGGCACCTTCTTCACGAAGACTTGTCAGCCTATCCAACTGAAAGACTTCTGCCCTCCTCTCATCTTTGTTCTTGTGTCAAAGTCATCCATGCCCATGCCTCATCTCCCCTTCAGCGTCCTGAGTGTGCAAGGTGAGGGTCTGTGGGACACAGTACTGAGCACATAAACCACACTCGGCAACAGTGGACCAAGTAACTGATGGTGTACCCTCCACCCTCTTTCTTTTCCTTCTGTCTTAACTTCCTGATTCTGTTCTTCAATGAGTCACATGCTCATGGCAGAATCCTACCTGTCCGTATACCTAATATTTTATAATTAGTAACCCCCAAGGAATGTTATAGAATCAGTAAATCCCATGCCTATGGGGCTAGATCCTCAAGCCCAACATGAAACTGGAAAATGAAGGCACAGGGAGATTAAGTGACTTCCTTGCGCTGTCAGAGTAAATAAAAGGCAAGATCAGGGGGAAAAAACTCTTTGATCTTTGCTAGAGGCCATCCCCGTGCCCTTTGGCACTTTGGCCCTGAGGCTCTAATCTCTGCAAAGAGGATTGGGAGAGGAGGGAGAGTTTCTGTAAGTGAATTTCTCTTTGAAAGTCATTCATTAAAATCTTTCCTTTGTGGGTGGTTGTCCTCGCAAGAGTTTGCTACTGGTGTTGGGGGTGGATGTGGAGGAGTCTTCGTCCATCAACAGCTCCCCCAGGTATGAGGCTGAAGCTTCAGGGGA